CGAAGTCGGACGCTTAACCGACTGAGCCACCCAGACGCCCCTGATGAATGTATTCTTCACATTTTATATTTTTTGAAGTTTGCATGCTTCTAAATCAAGAAAATTAAGGTTTCTGCTCAGTAAATGAAGTCTGTTGAAAGAAAATTTATTCTAAATGTCAGAAGTCATAAGCTCACTGCCAGTTGTCTTTAGTAGTAAAGACTAATCAACAAAATTCTGTACCAAAATTAATTTACATGAGATTTTGTTGATTTCAGTCCCAGTCTATTAGTAAATAGCAAGTATATTTGGACTTTTTATTTGTTGAATTTAATACTGGAGAGCAAGATTTGTAGTGCTGCATTGATCTTTGAAGAAGTGTTGAAAGTAGTTTATGAATTTGTTAATTATTTTTCTCCTCTGTGAATATAGGTTGTCCATTTTTAATTAGGACATAATCTTGAATAAATACAGATTACAAATTAAATGTTCATAGTAGAACTAGTAAAGATATCATTTGAGTCCAAAAAATAGTATGAATTTGTAGTTGTCCTGAATCCTTTATAGTTGCTTTGCTTTTTAAATTTTTTCATGGTGGTAAAATACCATAAATTTAATTTTATTATTATAGCTTATGAAATTTTTAGAGGGCAAAGGGAATAGGTACCTTTTAGAAAACCTGTTGAGATTCTAGAAAAATTCTGAGAGCTTTTTTTTTTAAATTTTTTTAACATTTACTTTTGAGAGAGAGAGAGAGAGAGAGAGCGAGCGAGCGCACCAGGTGGGGGAGGGGCAGAGAGAGAGGGAGACACAGAATCCTAAGCAGCCTCCAGGCTCTGACCTGTCAGCACAGAGCCCAATGTGGGGCTCGAACGCACCAACTGTGAGATCATGACCTGAGTTAAAGTCGGACTCTTAACTGACTGAGCAACCCAGGCGCCCCATAAACTGAGTGGAGGCTGTAAAACCTATGTCAAATTACTGGTTTTATGTTAGTTTCAAAGGTACACTTAGAAGGTTTCAATGATGAAGACGTAATCTCACGACAAGACCACGAACAAGAAACTGAAAAACTCGAGTTGGAAATTCAACAGTGTAAAGAAATGATTAAAACTCAGCAGCAGCTTTTACAGGTAAATGTGAGTTACCTTTTAAAGCTGTTTTCCCCTGTAAAGGGCCAGGATTTTACTGAATCTTACTAGATTTTTATTCCTTTATTTCAGAGGATATGTAGTATTTGACATTTTTCTGCTTTAAACTAAGTTCTGGGCTTACTAACAGGGACGTTAGGTACCATTCCTGAGGCGGGGCTTTGCCAAGTGGAAAAAGAGAGTCCTCCATTGACTTGCTGATTCTTCATCATTTCTGTCCTTCCCCAAAAGTTTGACCTGCCGTCCCTTGCTTTAACTTGGGGTGCCGCGGGGATCTTCTGGAACTTACTATGTTTTAAAATTTAATAGCAGCAGCTTGCTACTGCATGTGATGACGACACCACTTCACTGCTTCGAGACTGCTACTTGTTGGAAGAAAAGGAGCGCCTCAAGGAAGAGTGGTCCCTATTTAGAGAGCAAAAAAAGAATTTTGAAAAGGAAAGACGAAGCTTTACAGAAGCGGCTATCCGCCTAGGATTGGAGGTATCTTAAACAATTAGCTTTCCTTGTAGAGCTTTTGCAAGTTCTGGGGAGGCCCGGCAAGTTCTGGGAAGTTCTGCCTTTCATTGTTTTTTTGCCATCCAGTTGTTCCCTAAAGTATTTCACCAGCGATCTTATAAATAACAAACTGGAAAGGATTGTAAGCATGTGAACTGTTATAGAAGGGTGTCGTTTTGCCTTTACCAGATTTGGGAATTGAAACTTTTCTTTTTAGAAAACTCTAAGCATCCGTTATCCCCTTCTGGTTGGCTTTCTACTGGTCAGTGTTTAGCTTCACACAGGAGATCTCTCTGGGACATTTGTTATCTTCCCACTGTCCGTGGGCATCAAAAAGCAGTACAAAAGTTCTCCCTCTCCCCCTCACCCAGGGATGTGTGCATGCACCTTCTACAGCTTGCTTTTTGACTTAACGATATAAACCTACATATTTCCCTTTCAAAAGTTAACACAAGTAATGTGTGAACATGGTTTAAAAAATAACTCCTACAAAAAACCACAAACTGAACAAATGTCCTCCATTCTTACCACCAGTTTCATTCCTCAGAAGTCACCACTGTTTGAACTTCGTAATTCTTCTGAGAAGTACTGTTTTAACCTTAGTGTATTTCAGCCTTTGTTTTCTTGATAACAATCTATTGATTCCCGGCTATGAAGGATAAGGAATGCAGTGTCCTTACCGCAACTCCCATCTATGCTGTTCCTCGTCTCTATATATGACTTCTTCATACATACTTCATACTTTTTTAAAACCACTTTTAAAAAATGGTTTCTTTTGGTTGACTTTTTTAAATAATACGTTTGATGCTTCCATTTCACGTGTGCTTGACGTGAGGCAGTACCATATCCCCGCAATGAAAGATGAAGACGTTCTTGTACTTACCCTTGTTCCCCTTCTCTTGCCCTTCTACTTCCCAAGTTTTGTCTATGGTTATTATTTCTCATCGTTGGGTGTTACCACATTTGTCCTCTGCCCTACGGTGTAATCCAGGTGTATGTACTTTAAGGTTGAGACTTAAAAATGGAAAGAACATTGATGACATCATGATTCTGTAAATATTATTCATTCTGTAACCTACTAATATGTTTGATCACATAGAAAATACTCTATGTTAATAAGACTTTGCCACCTTGGAGAGAATCTTTCGTGTACCACTGTGTAGTGAGTCTTTTGACTTTCTTTATAGCTTAGGATTTCCTGAATCACATTCAATTTGTAGCTCACACTATCTACTTTCTTGGGTTCCTTTTTCAATTTGCTGTATTAGCTTCTTGAGTAATTTTTTTGTAAGTATTGTGTGAGTAAAAAATATTCTGAATTCTGGGATATCCAAAAATGCACTCATAGGTGATTGGTTTGGCTGCATATAGAATTCAGTTTCCCATTGTTCCATTTCTTCTGCTGTTTGGTTTTGCAAATAAGCAGCCCGATTATCATATAACCTACAGGCAATACTTTGTAGATATCCTGTGCTTTATTTTTTTCCTTCTCTTCTTCTTTTCTCCTTTTTACATTCTTAAAGTTCCAAAATTTTGTGAGGATACATCTAGGTAATTTAGCCTGAAGACACTGCATTTCTTCAATTTGGAATATTTTCTTTGATTCTGTATTTTTTCCCTTGCATTCTCAAACATTTCTATTAGACAAATGGTTGGCCTTCTGACTACATCCATAGATTGACTTTATGTCCTGAATTTAAGGGTATTCTCTCACCTTTATCTTGTACATCACCAACCTGATATTCAGCACCATCAGTTTTAACTCTTCATTTCATCCAAGGAGTTTTTATTTTAGAATTTATCTTTCAAGTCTTTGGTGTCCTCATTTTTTTTCTTTTTGTAGAGCATTATATTATTTTACAGGTGTTCATAAATCTGGTCATTTGTGTTAGAATATTTTTTCAAAAGGCTCTTGAACTGTTACCTATAGTCAGGTCTCTTTATGTTGGCTCTTTTTCTTTCATGCTCTTCGTTTTCTTCAAATGTCTGGGGACGCATGATTTTGTATTAGTGTTTATGAATGAAAGATATATGCTGTTTAGCTGATATGGGTTTCCTCCACACTTGTGAAAATTTATCTTATCAATAGCTACCTTTCTCAGAAAATAAAATCCGTTTGCACCAGCATTTTCTCCTGTCTTACAGGAACCTTTTTCTGAATCCCTGTATCCGTCCTATTCCGGGAGATCCTCTGGCTACTTTTTGTACCACTCCCAGTTCTCTGCAGGACAGTCTGTCTGCCTCTGGCCAGTGGGGCCAGTGAAGGATGGGAAGGAAGCACGAGAGACCTGAGGGATGAGGGAGAATTGAGGATTATCGTTGGCTGTTGGGAAGGGGAAGGTCTGACCTGTGCCCTCTTGTGGTTTAGCGGTGGTGGCTGCTGGTGCTGGTAGATGGTTGGAGGCTGAGAGCGATGCCTGGTGAGGTCATAGCTTCTTTTGCTCACGTGATTAATTTACAGTGGGTATTTTTCTGTCGTTTGTAATTTTATACTTACAATGTTCTGTGTGTTCAAAAATTCTAATGTGCTATCTTTTTTTTTTGCATTATCCATTTGAATTTATTTAAAATAGATGTGAAAATAACAGTTGGTTTTTAGGTGAGATGGGTAAATTTTTATTTTTTATATATGATTTTCTTAAATGAAGTTTTTCTTAGTTTTTTAGGTTAATTCATTTGACTTACAAAATATAGATGGTAGCCAGAAAGCAAACGCCAACAGCTACAGAAATCATGGGAAGTGGCACCGGTGTGAATGTTGAAATACTGATCAGTATTTCTTTGGTTTGCTTGTTATGACAGAGAAAGGCATTTGAAGAAGAAAGAGCCAGTTGGTTAAAGCAACAGTTTTTAAATATGACTACCTTTGACCACCAGAACTCAGAAAATGTGAAACTTTTCAGTGCCTTCTCAGGAAGTGAGTACTCCATTAACCCTTTAATCTGAAAATGCATGTCAATACTGTAAATTATTAATATAAAACTTTGGGGATCACCAAATACTTAAAAAAATTTTTTTTTAGTTTATTTTGAGAAAGACACAGCGTTAGTAGGGGAGGGGCAGAGAGGGAGGAAGAGAGAGAGAGAGAGAGAGAGAGAGAGAGAGAGAGAGAGAATCCCAAGCAGGTTCTGCACCATCAACGCACAGCCCAATGTGGGGCATAAACTCACAAAACCGCAAGATCGTGACCTGAGCCGAAACCAAGTCAGGCAGTTAACCACCTGAGCCATCCAGGCATCCCTGGAGATCACCAAATATTTTTAAAACTAAATCATTCTAGATGTTTATGGAATATGCGTAAGAGATGGCAAGATTAGCAAGACTAGAGTCAAGGGCTCGAGTGAACACCCACATTAACTTGTTCTATCTCACACCTCACTACCCTTCAGGTGATCATAGTTAATTACCTTCACTATATTTGATACCTCACCCTAGGGACTGCCTTTTTTTCTTCTTTCTTTTTAACAGGTTCTGATCGGGACAGTCTTACAGTGCACTCAAGGCCACGGCAAAAGAAGCCTCAGAATATGTCTAACGGGTCTCCAGTTTGCACATCTAAACTTACGAAGTCTCTTCCCGCTTCTCCTTCTACTTCAGACTTTTGCCAGACACGTTCCTGTGCATCTGAACATAGGTATTGGTCTATGGGTGATCTTTGCACATATCTGTACCATTGCTAGAGTTGCACTGCTGAGGGAAAGGTGGCATATCTGTAGTGTTAGCAACAATAGTGGCTTTGGAGAGGAATTTAGTAGATTGATTCATTCTACAAGTATTTATTGGGTAGCCATTATATAAGGACAGTGTTAGGTGCTGGGAATGCAGTAGCAAACAAAGTAGATCCTGGTCCCTGTCTTCTGGGAGCTAAAAAATTTGTTCCCTATCCCCAGGAAACCCACATACTTCTATTACCTGATGCATTTTGGTATTTTTCTCTGTCTCAAATTGTTAAATCATATTCTAAGGTATAATATCAATATTCTACCTCAGAGCCTGTTCCAAGATTAAGTAGATAGAACATTCCTAGCGACAGAGGAATAGCAAAGAACAAAGGGATACCTTGGAAAGTGTGGTGGTGATCTTTCCTTTTTAACCAAAGCAGAGGACAGTGGCATGAGGACGTGCCAGTTTGGTAGGTGCCCCAGAAAGCAGGGGCATGCTTGCCTGTGGTAGTGAGATACTGGTGTGGAGCTAAGTGTTGAAGAAGCCTACTAGCCCTTGGACCAAGAATTGTTAAATAAATGAATTTCAGAACAAAAATATGAAGGTTAAAAAGGATAAGACACTGTACATATTGTTGAGTTTTAAAAGGTTTAAGACTCTAAATATTGAGGGGCAAAAAAGAGCCTGGGGAAGAGTCGTCCAGGCAAGTGTAGGGACCCCTGAGGTGTAGGACACTGGTGTGTTTGTGGAGGGCAAGTGTTGTTAGCTAGCAAGACCAAGAGGTAGGAGGTAGTTAATAGTGGGAGGTAGGCAAGGATCACATCCTATAAGGTCCTGGGTGAGTAGGGTTAAAAAGTTTATTATGCAAGAGTTCAAATATATACCAATGTATAGAGAATAAGGTCATGGTGCCCTTTATAGCCATCACCCGGCTTCAACAATTACCACCTTATGACCGTGTTGTTCATACATAACCCCACTCTGCTGCCCCCATACGCATATACACACCTGGCAGTTCATTTGTAAGGTTTTTTGTTGCTGTTTTTGTTTTTGAGAGGGAGCACGCATGAGAGCAGGGGAGAGGGGCAGAGGGAAAGAATCTTAAGCAGGTTCCACCCTCAGCACGGAGCCCAACACGGGACTTGATCCCACAACCCTGGGATCATGACTTAAGCCAAAATCACAAGTCAGACATCACAAGTTAGACGCTCAACTGACTGATCCACCCAGGTGCCTCTCATTTGTAAAGTATTTCAATCTCTATTTGTAGGTCAGATACTGTTCTAAGGGCAAGAGATAAAGCATTGGAGATTTGTAAGCAGTGGAAAAGATATGTTTTGAAAAGATGACTGTTTTATTGTTTGGAAAACAGACTATAGGAGTGAGTCCTGTAGGTCAGGAGATGCAGTTAGGAGACATTAATGGAGTCAAGGTGAGGTGACGGTAGTTTAGACAAGGGTCGTAACATGAAGGTAGAAATGACTGGATTTGGGATATATTTTGCTTTTCAGCCAACAGATTGACTAATGGGGGGAGTATCGGAAGTGAAAGTTGAATTTACAATCAAAAGATACTGTAAGTTCAGAGTATTTTCTTATATGGAGTGTTATTAAACTCCCAAATTTGACCAATTAGAGTGCTCTATGTAAATAACACAAATTCTAGTCGCCATTTTCAAATAATACATTCTATATCTGAGAGCGAACATAGCATTTGTCTTGGTTATTTTTATGTATCTAAAATTCTTTTAAATCCAATTTTTAGTTATGAAATATTTGACATAACATTCCTTGAAGACATTATTTTGTGTTTAGTAAAGATAAGTCCAACATTTAGTACCTATATAATAGGGCGTTATGAGATTTCAGTGATGATACATATAAAGCATTTAAAACAGTACTTGGTCCATTATAAGCCCTCAGCAGGCTATAAACATAAAAATATATGTAAATATAAATGGTTTATAAAAGTACTTTTCTGTTTCATATATTCCAAGGGCTACACTAAACAACATCAGTGGCATAGAAATAGAACTTTGGAGCATTAAGAAGCTCCATTGAGCTATTAATATTTGTGGTTACTGGCCTCTGAATATAAAACACAGAAAAGAGTTGTGTAACTAGTTTCAGGAGAGAAGCTGTTGCAGCTTGACATAGTTCTTAAAATTTTAAGTTATTTGGAAAATTTGGACTCCTTGCTCCTGAAGCACCTTAGATCTGGGTTTGTAATAAGATGATTGCCACATCGAGGTTGAGTTGGTAAACCAAAGTCTCAAAAAATGCACATTTAGGGGGAAAAAAACCCTTTTTTGGGGAAAAAAGATACTCAGTTGATAAAAATATGTTATTTGTTGGCTTAACCCCTTAGATTCGAAAATAATCATTTAACCAGCTATTTTTGTTTAGAGATGGTCACAGAGCATAGCTCTCAGATTGTGTCATTGAAGGGTAGCAGCTGTGTCCACATTCAGAACCTAAGAGTGTTGCTCCCTGACACTTACAATTAATTCAGCACTGGTGTATGCACTTAATGTGTGTTAACTCAGTTCCATCCAACCCTGTGAGATAGATACTATTATTATTTCCATTTTACAACTGAGGAAGCTGAAGAAACAGTGACATAGTAAGTGGTTCAGCTGGTGTACGGACCTAAACCATCTGACTTCAGAGTCTGGACTCCTTACTACTTTTGTAGGCACTCATTAAATAGCTGTGTGGGTAAATGGGTGGGTAGAGGAAAACTTGTGTGTAAAAATGGATATGTATATAAAAAAAACAGATTACAAAATAGTGGCAGGAAGATGGGGACATGGAGGGACATTGGCTTTCAAAGCCCACGTGTCCTGTATCTGACTTAGGCATTAGTTGGGTAGAGCGCTTCAGAGTAAACCAAAGAGATAGATAAAATAAGTGGGTAAACAGAAAAATAATAGATGGATAGATACGATAAAAGTGATAAATTAGGCCATTTTGAAACATTTCTTTGTTCCCTATCTGTGTATCTTCACAATTGACTTAGCATCGGACAAGGGAGCAATCTGACTTTAGACATTCAAGCCTAGCTTAAGTATAAAAGAAAGAGGAGATGGTTATTAAGATCTGCCTTTCTTTTCCTAATAGTTCAGTCAGCGTACTGAATATAACTCCTGAAGAAACTAAACCAAATCAGGTTGGAAGAGAATGTGCAAATCAGAAGTGGAGCATGGCATCGAGACCTGAGTCACAGGAAGGTTGCTATAGTGGGTGCTCCTTGACCTACACCAACTCCCATGTGGAAAAAGATGACTTACCTTAGACGTGTGGACTGGAACTGTTTTCATTAACACGTTCATCAGATTTCACATCTAAGTTGAAACAGGGTGTGTCATAAAGTCAGTCATCTCTACTAATTTAAGGTGGTCTGAGTTGTTTGTTTGGACTTTCCTGTTCCTCCCCCAAAGAGCTAAAATGTTAAATCTATTTAAAAGGATATAAAAGCTTTGGATAATGTATTTTTAGTAACAGAAGCATCTGGTTCTGTGAATAAAGGAATGTATATGTTTGGTCGAAAACAGAAGCACTAGAATGAGTTTCCTCTTATAGGTATTAAAAATAGCACTTTTAGGAAACTGATTATTGTAAATGTTTAATTTTGTCTCCTATATAGTTGGCATTGGAAGTTTAGCCTTTACTTGAATGTATACTGTAGATTTTTAACAAAGCAAGTTCTATATTTATTATGTTTAGTGTGATTTGAAATTTCCTCTTTCATATGTTTTAAATAAAGTGAAATTTATGTATGTTTTGTACATAGATATACATGATTATGTTAAGAGGCTTTAAGATTTAAAAATTTTACACATCCATAATTATAGTATTTCATGCCAATAAAATTTTTTTAGTGGTATTCTGTTTACAGATGTATTAGAGCCATTGCCACATTATGTTTAAGAATTTTTTGAATGCATCTGAGCAATAAATACTCAAAAGCTGTTCCATGAAGCTGACTTCTTCAGATAATTAACATTACTGACATTACATTTTTGAGATTTCTACAGCAGTAGACTTTTATATATGTAGGATATTATAATTTTTCAAAGGACTTTTGATTATAGGATAATAGAGGCAAGATAAAAGTACCCTTGAATAAAACAAGTTAAGAATATCGGTTTAAGATACATGGGATGATAGAAGATATTTAAGATATCAGAATGGTGATCTTCTCTTTACTAGATGGGGACTAGCACTGCAACATCTGTACCAGCTCGGGCTTTGTATAGTTGCCAGTAATTTTTAAATAATTTTTCAATGGAGTATTTGCCACTAATGATAAAGAAATCTGACAATGTAAAAAGCATCAGATTTTATCCAAATATAATACTCTGGATAAACTCGTGTCATCTCATTTCCAGAACTGATTGCATGTTTCTTCTTGTTATCGATGATAATAAATGTAGGCCCAGGTTCTTTCCCAGAATTTGTATCAAAAAGCTTCAGTGCCTAACCCTGTTTGTCTTTGTACATAGAAGTCTATACAGATCCCAGTTCTAGCTAGATATGTAAAGCTTATCTGCCTTCCCATTTTCTAGTAGTTCAACCACTTATATACACTCACCCTGTTAGGGGTGTTCCATTTAAATCCATCATGCTAAGAAAAGAAAAGAGTCTTATTTTTGTCATCGTTCACTAGATCTAAGAGTTTGTGTAGCAACCATTTTTTTCAGGGCTGATAGAATATCTTATAAGACAGCGAAACTACTTGTAACACAATAGCCACATTTATAGTCTCAAAAAACTGGCTCTTAGAAAGCAAAGCAGTCACTGCCTTCTGTTCGATGCATGGTCACTTCTTCACAGTTTAAAATATTAGAAATGATACAAAATTTCTGAGATTGTACCATATTCCAAAGGAGGAAACAACAGATTTTTTTTTTAACTATTGAGCAATAATATGATCAAAGAAAGGCAATCAAATTTAGAAATAGTCATTGATCCATTTATCAAGAATTTTTTTGGCAGGAGTTTCCATGATCTACTTTGCCAGGAAAGAACATTTTAATTTTTAAAATAAATCTTACTGCAGAGGATAATGCAAAATGGATTTCTACAAAGCAGCATCTATTTTTTGTTCTGTTTCCATTCTAAGCTGGTTGAATTCTCATATTGGAAGGAACAATCTCTTGAGACTTATTTTGAAATAAAAGGTGTAAAAGAAACAGTAAAATGAAAGCCAGGTTCCTTACGTTTTTAATAAAAATCTGCATAGATCTGCTAGACATTGTAGCTTTTACCGAACAGCATCAGTTTTTGCTTTACTGTAAATTGCAACTCCCAGCGATTCCCAATCACGCTTAACTTCCCCGATGATTGGAATGCCTTCTGTGTTGGAAAACTCCTGACTTCACACATACAACTCCTAGAATTTTGTTTCCCTTCCCCTTCTATAGGTATTTGCAAGGTACTAATAATTCAACTATGCTTTGGTCTTACATTAAGCCATGATTACATGATGGCACCACAGGGAGCCTCAGCTTCAGAGTCCTCCTGATAAATGTTTTCTTGTTCATCAATATGTAACTGAAATCTTGTTTGTTTTTACATGGCATATCCATTTTGAATTTTCAAAGGACAAAAACGGTAAAGAAAATTTAAGAGAAAAATTTTATTTCCTACTCTTAAACTTTTGTATCTTGAATTTATGATGATGAGAAATTTAGAAGAAGAATCATAGCAGAAAATTAAGATTAAAATTTAACTTAAGTAGGTTTTTTGTTTTCTTGTTTTGCTTTGTTTGTTGAAGCAATGTATTAAAATGTTTAGATGCACAGAATAGTCCACAGCAAATTGTTTTCCTTCTGGTGCAATTAAAAACAGTTGTTACTTGAAAAGAGTTCCACGTTTCCTACCTTTGCTTACCAGACGTGTGTATAGGCTTGTGGGAACACGGCTTTTGTAGGAAAACACATTCCATGGTGCGTGATGAGAGTGCCCCAGGAAGCCAGGAGAGGTTGTGTGTGTATAACCAGAACGATGTGAGCTAGGAAGCCCTTCATGCGATTGCCCTATTGTAAAAATCTTCAAAGTATGTTTCTAGGTTTGGATTTAAGGTAAGTATGGGTCATGAAGGCTAGTAAATATATTTTTCCCTATATTTGTCCTTAATTTTTTTCAATCTTCGTAAGCATTTATGAAGTACCTGTTGTATTCAGGGCTTACTCTACTACATTCTTAGATACTGGGGTAGGAAGACAGACTATAAGTGCACGCACTCTGCCACCAAGAGCCTCTGAGCTGAATGGAAGACTGGCTATGTAAACCAAAATTATAATAAAGAAATAGCATTTACTGCTATTCATTCAGTCTCAATAAAACTTGGACTGGTGGTTCTGTTGCAGAACCGTGTATGTCCATTTCACGACAGTGACGTGGCTGGGCTTCTAATTAAAGAGTCTGCATGATTTCCTATGGGAAGTACTGTGTAATTAATACCGTTTTGTTTTGCTGGGTTTCCATTTTTTTTTTTTTTTTTTACAATCAAAATACTGACCTGCAAAGCGGTGTAAGATTTTCTGCCCACAGACCATTTAGTACTATGTAATAGAAAATGCATTTGCAAAGATTTGGGACGTGTTGATCAGGGTCCTGAAGTAGGTCATTCTGGTCCCTTTTCTAAATATAATTTTTCAGGCTGGATATAAAAGCGGAGTGGAGAAATTGTTATTTTGATAATTGATAAATTATTTAATACCAAACTATAAATTGATTATTGATTAATTATTGACAAATTGATAATATTTGATGGATTATTTGATTAATATAAAAACTGTTTCACTTGACTGGTTAAGATTGTAAATTTTTAACATTTACACAAAACTGAATTCAGAGGGGTTCAGAAGGTTTTGGAAGGTTCGTGATTAGACGCTGGTAAAAGGTCCACCTCAATATTGATATATTTAAGATTCAGAAATACTTGTACCAGTGTAATGCTTAACACATGGTAAGATAATTTGTTAATGAGACATAAAATACTAAATTAAATGTATCACAGTACTTCATTGTCAGGAATACACTATAAAATTCTTAAGAATGTAGGAACCTTGTTTTATGATTGGGGCCGGGGGGATGGGGTCCTATTTCCAACCCCATCTAGCTTGATTCTTAGCACAGACTATTAGACCATCTTACAAATAAAAAACACTAAGTCGGTATGGCTCAATACAAAAGCTTAATCATCGGTCAACATGAAATTCTTGTTGATGTGAATTGGGTAGTCTTCCTCCATCTTTAGGTATGCCATCTGGAACTCATGGCCTCAGATGCTGTCAAATCAGGAAAACCACAGTCTAGCAGGTGGTCGTGGATGTTTTTACAGACCAGACCTGAAAAAGACCTGCCTTCTACCTACATTGCTTTGTCCAACACCTAGACGTCTGGAATCAGCCTCACTACCAACAAGACTAGGAGGTATAGAAAATGCAGCTATTTGATGAGCATTGATGGTTTGCTACCTAAGGCAGGTGTGTGTGTGTGTGTGTGTGTGTGTGTGTGTGAGACATTTCATCCATTCATTTACTTCAAAAAATAACCAGCAAAACCTATTACCTGGTGCAAGGGGTTTATTGCTGATTATTAAAGTCACATATTCTTAATTTTGGGAAGGAGTGTATTTTAAGGAATGTATTTAAGGCTTCTTTTATACTCTCTATAAAGAGAGTATATATTTTCATCATATAAAGTTTTAAGGAATTCAGATGGTAGTTTTACACAGTTATTAAAATATCCACATTGCACAGAACATTCACAATTTCTTTTGATTCCTTGAGAGAATATTAATCTTTCTGTTTTTGAAGAGTTAGTAAGAGACTCAGAATTTAAGATCATGTAGCTAGTAAGTGGTAAAATTGGAACTTAAAACCCAGATTTTTTTTTTAATATTTACTTAGTTTTGAGAGAGAGTGCGAGCAGATGAGGGGCAGAGAGAGAGAGGGAGACAGAATCCCAAGCAGGCTCTGTGCTGTCAGCAACGAGCCAGACACGGGGCTCAAACTCACGAACCGCGAGATCATGACCTGAGCCGAAATCGAGTTGAATGCCTAACCAACAGCCATCCAGGTGCCACAAAACCCAGATCTTTCTGAGCCCTAAATTTCCAGCTTATTCCAGACTGCTACAGGACCTTTTGGTATCCGTTTTTAGGTGAAATTAACTCGATTCTTTACCCATAATTCGCCACTCTATAATTTTCTGCACTAAAGTGTTGGTCATTCATTCCCAGTGCAAGGCTCACTCTTGTTTTTGTGAATGGTTACCATGGCAGTCCCATTCAGAATTGGACATTTACCTTTTCAAGACAGGGGCATTAAGGATCTAATTCAAATAGCTCATCCCATGTAAACAGAGTAGAGGCCACTGAGGAATCCCAAGATATACCTACACGGCCTGCTTTTTCTGCCGTCTTTGTTCACTCTTGGCAGTGTTAGTGTTTGTGTGCCATGTCCCTCTGTGACTACAGTCACAGTGACCAAAAACACTTCTATTGTGCACAGGTAATAGGTTTTTTATTTATTTATTTTTTTTATTTTTGAGACAGAGACAGCATGAGCCTGGGAGGGGCAGAGGGAGAGGGAGACACAATCTGAAGCAGGCTTCAGGCTCTGAGCTGTCAGCACAGAGCCCGATGTGGGGCTCAAACTCACAGACAGTGAGATCATGACCTGAGCTGAAGTCGGACGCTTAACCGACTGAGCCACACAGGCGCCCCGGTAATAGAGAGTTTTTAAATGTCACTGTATGGTGAAACATGGGGCATTTGTGGTTACAAATTTGTGGCACCGCAGTTACAACTGGCGGTAGTGCAAAGCAGTGGGAACATCACATATGGTCCCTCTTCCAACTTCTCGGCTGCCA